GATAATTAAAAACAAACACTTTTTGAAGAATCCAAAAATCGAGCAATCGAAAAAACAAAAATTTTAAAAATCGAAAAATCAATACATATTTCGAAAAATTAAAATATCCACAATTGAAACATTCCAAAATTGCAATGTGGAATCGAAAAACTCAAAAATCGAAAAGTGGACAAATTTTAAAAATTGAAAAACCGAGATGTTGAGAAATCGAAAATTTGAAATACTTCTTAAAAAATTTAAAAATCTGGAAATCGAAACATCAAAAAATCGTAAAATCTAAGACTTCAAAAATAGCAGAATGTGAAATTTAAAAAATCGAAGAATTGAAAAATAAATAAACTGAAGTTCAAAAAAACGAGAAAGCAAGAAATTCTAAAAAAATCTAAAATTTTAAAAATCGGAAAATGAAGTAAAACCGAAGAATATTAAATCGAAAAATCGAGACATCGGAACCTCAAAAAATTGAAAAAAAGAGAAAACGAAAATTAAGATTTCAAAAAATGGAAGAATTGAAAAATTAAAAAATCGAGGAATTACAAAATTAAAAATGTGAAAAATTTAAAATCGAGAAGTCGAAGTCTCCAAAACATAGAAAAAGTGAAAAATTTTAAACAGAAAAATCGAAAAATTGAAAATCGAGAAATCGCAAAATTGAAGTTTAAAAATTTAAAAATTCGAAGAACTGAAAAACTTAAAACAGAATTATCGAAAAATTGATAAATCGAATAATCCAAGAAACATTGAAAAATGGAAAAATTGAAACATCCCAAAACTAAAACATCGAAAAATTAAAAAATCAAGAAATCGAAACATCAAATAATTGAAATTGTAAAATCGAAAATTCTAAACAGTAAAAAAATAGAAAAATGGAAAAGTCGAGCAATCGAAAAACCGAAAATTAAAAAATTTTAAAACGTAAAAACGTTAAAACCAAAAAATTGAAAAAGCGTAAAATAGAAAATTCTAAAATTTCAAAAATTCGAAAAACTCAAATATCGAAAAGTGGGCCGAGAAATCGAAAAATGTACTTCTTAAAAAATTTAAAAATCTGGAAATCGAAACGTCAAAAAATCGTAAATTCAAAAACTTAAAAAATCAATGAATTTAAAAACAGAAAAACTGAAAGATAAAAAGAATCTAAAATTTAAAAATTCTAAATGGAAAAACCGAAAAATTGAAAAATCGAAAGATTAAAAAACTGAAAAAGTGAACAATTCAAAATCGAGAAGTAGAAATCTACAAAAAAAATAGAAAAAGCGAAAAATTTTAAAAAGAAAAATCGAAAATTTGGGAATTTAAAAATTCGAAGGACTGAAAAACTCAAAACTGAATTATCGAAAAATTGATAAATCGAAGAAACACTGAAAAATCGAAAAATTGAAAAATCCCAAAACTGAAACATCGAAAAATTTAAAAATCGAGAAATCGAAGCATCAAATAATTGAAAAATTGAAAAATTGTAAAATCGAAAATTCTAAACAGTAAAAAAATAGAAAAATGGAAAAGTCGAGCAATCGAAAAACCGAAAATTAAAAAATTTTAAAAATCGAAAAATTGAAAAATCCCATAACTGAAATATCGAAAAATTGATAAATTGATCAATCGAAAAATCGAAAAATGAAACAACAAAAATCTGAAAAATCGAAAAATTGAAGAACCGAAAACTGAAAAAAAAATAAAAATCGAGAAATCGAAAAATCAAGAAATAGGAATATTAAAAAAATCGAAATATCGAAAGCAGAAAGGTAAGAATCGAAAAATTGAAAAATCGAGAAATTTGAAAAATATCAAAACTGAAATAACGAAAAATTTACAAATTGAAAAAAAATTGAGAATCGAAAAATTGAAAAGTCGAGATACCGAAAAGTCGAAAAATTGAGAAATCGAAAAATTGTTACCTACACAGTTTTGATGTTTTTCCAAAAATATCGATGTCTAAGATAAAAATTCAACACGGATTCATAAACCACAAGTTTAGAACTATGTAACTTTTTAAAGTTCAAATAACATTCGACAAAATTGCAAGAAAACATCATCAGTTCTTGTGGGGGCCATGAACTGATAAATTTTGATTAACGATTTACCATGCTTCCGATAACCTCAACACGTTTGCAAGATTTTAAAGCATTCGATTCTGCAGTTTCAAAGTTAAATTGTAAAATATCGTTATACAATTTTGATTTTTTCCCAAAAATTTGAATGCCTAGAGTAAAAACTCAACGCGGATTCATAAACCGCAAGTAGAGGACTACGTTGTTTAATAAAATTTAAATAACATTTATTACTGGTTTAAAATTTGGAGATGACGTTTTTGGTTAACGTTTTATCATGTACGTGCTAGGTATTGCTAAGATACCTAAGGGTCATGAAATCGGCAGCACTATAATTAACGTGACGGTATTGTTGGGAACAAAGCGTCATTTGTCATGATTTTTAGTCAACACGCGTTTAAACGCCTTTTTAGCACCTCTTAGTTTTAGGGTCCAGCAGCTTCAGGTAGAGCAGGTGCTACCGTTTATCACAATGGGCACACGCGCCGCGACACCCAACAAACAAAAAAGGGACTTTTTTTCTGTCACAAAAATCGACGATTTCAGGTATTTCGGGTGGAACAAAATCGTGTGGTCTTAAAGTTTGGGTAATTAGTGTTGCGGCTAAGGGTCTATCTAATATGCATGAGGTTGGGACGCGTAACGAAAATCGGTCTGAATGGATGGATTTCGCAATGGCTTTAACCATATTTCTTATGGTTGTGATTCATGTAATCCTTGAAGGTTTTGGTTCCCACGAAAGAATAACCGGGGTGATTTGAATAAGTCCCTCCCTTCTTCGCTCAATTTACATAATGTTTACTGGACACTGGTCATCTATCCGTTACCCTCCTTGCAAGGTGTCTTTGCCAACCCTTCGAAACTAGTTCCAGTTCTTCTACCTGACCCGTTATGTATGGTTTGTCAAAAGTATTATTAAAAAGATATGACAGTAATCCGCGACCCGTTTTGCGTCGAAACCATCATCATTATTTGAGTGTTTCCCCGATCTAGGCAACGTGTTTTGGGGCGAAGCTTGCGAATCTGGACTCAGGTAATGACCGGTCCGCTGCGATGGATATTTTCCCATATACTGACTACCAATACGACCATTAATCTCAAGTCAGTCGTTAATGTATGCAAGCGGTAAACGATCTTTTAGGTACGAGAAAGGCCCTTTGTTGGACCTTACGGTCAAGTATTTGTATATTAAATCGATCAATCATCTGCAAGAATAGGGAACGCTGGTTTGCCAGGCCGCCACTCGGTTATACATACATAAGCCTAAATATTTTCATACGATCTTTGCTTGGCCGAGATGGAAACCCTTGGAAATATTAACTTTGCGAGTAATTTCAACCGACCACGATCCGTTATTTGAAAAAGCTTATTGAAATGTAAATCACTCCTCCACGCAACACTGAAATCCATAGAGCACTTTAAATATTCTCACATTCTTTTTCATACGGTGTTCCTCGAGGTTGCTTTTATTAATAACCCCTTAGTGCTGCCCCTGTTTTTATTTTTAGATGCAAATCTACACTGCTACGAAGGTCGTATCAATTGGGGCTTGAGCAAAGCACACAACTACATTTCAAAACACAAACCAATGATTACGGAAATTTTAGTCACTTGATGCGTACAAGATTTTCACTAAAACGAGTAAATAATGTTTTTTCTCTCTCTCTCTCTCTCTCTCTCTCTATCTTGATACGTTTAATAAGAGCAATATTTTTACTTCCTGATTTCAGTTTTGTTCTTAGTTGTTCTTTCGAGTTTCTAAATGTCAAATATTTCCAAAAACAGTGTTTTGAACCTATAATATGATAAGAACAAAGGACGCGTTTCAACAGCTACGCTGTCGTTTCGGACTTAACTAAGATAATGAGATGTGTTAGGTCAGTACGGGTGGTTTTTTCTAAAAAATAACTTTTTAACTCCACTGAGGTAATAATTACACAATTGTGTACATACTGTATCAAAGGCCAAGGAGAATCGACGTTGTATTACGTTTGATTTTAACGTAGCGTTCAAACGAAAAAATCGTGAACTTTATTCGAAAGTTATCTTTGTACATCGCCCGTATTGTGTAGGACTTTGGACTTTAGTTGCCACACCAGAGCATATTTTTGTTTGTCGAATGATACAGACAAAAAAATATGCATATGTAAGTAGAAAAAGAAGATATATTTAAAGAAACAGTACAAAGTGCAATTAAAAAAAAATGTTAAAAAAATAACAAAGTATAAATTTGGTTTTCTAAGTTATACATTATCATTAAATCGTAATGAAAACTGATAAGCAATACACAAGTGGCTATAAAAATAAATTGACTCGTAAAAAACAAATTGCATTAAAAGGTTGCAGGTGTTGCGTGAAAAATCACAAATTCTCTGGAGATTTTCACAGTTAATGAACGTTCTTATTAGAACAGTGCAATAAAATTGTTTGCTGGAACATGTACAACCATAAAAAAGTGAAAATAATTCAGAAAAACCAGATTTAGTGATAAGTTTTGACGTTAAAAATTGATGTTGTACGCAGTGGTGGAAGTTGTTCATGAATATTTCAATAGCATCAACGGATTAAAACACAAGAGCCTGTTTGTTCTTAGCCAAAACCATTCTCCCAATATTATGAATAAAATTATAGTTACTATGCCATATGTTTGCGCTTCTTGTTGAGTTTACTGTTAGATAAATACAACATTAACACAACTCTTTGTTGCAACAGAGGTGTAATTATTTTTTACCCACATTTTGCCTACATACTGTTGATTCAAGATAGCACTTAATGCCAACATAAAAAAGTAAAAGCTGCGTGGCTTGATATCCAAAAAGTAGAGCCGTCGTGGCTACTTTCTGGGCAAACATCGCGCCGTAGTTAATTTGAACGTCGACAAGCACTCAGGGCTCAAGCACATATCCAAAATGCTCGTGTCGCTCAATCTGCACACTACAACTACACAACTACCTTCTCTCCTCATTCCCATCTTCATGCATTTTTTGAGGCGACAGTACTGGCATTGATTCCTGTGGTGTTGGTCGATAGGGCAATTCCTGCTTCCTCGACACGAATATGTTAGATTCCTTCGAACACTCCTCTTGAAAAATGACTTGCAACCTGTAACATCAAAAACAGTTACTCACCTATCATGTGAGCTGACGAAGCACTATTACGTTTTATGCAACAGACGTTTTAAGAACAATATTTTACGGCACCTCACCAAAACGAATTGATTTGCTAAATGCGCGCCCAAGCAAAAACGGAGACAGCCGGGCTGGCTCGTGTAATCGGTGCTTTAGCTAATTAGCGGGAAAAAAAGTTTGAACGTATTTTGTCAAATTTGTAGTTCTATTCGACTCAAGATTGGCTTAAAGTCCGTCTATCGCTTACGATGACGACCGAGTAAGTTAAATGCGGCGAGTTGCTTTGTTTGAGGAAACGAGCGATTATGGACAATAACCCGTTTTCGCTGGGGAGAATCGTTTGAAAACGAAAGTTTTAACGACCGAATTGTTGAAAAATCGAGTAAATAATTGGAGTAATAATTCGCCTGTCATACGTGTGTCTCCTTCAAAGTCTTTTATAGTTTTATGACCGAAATGTTTTTATAAAGTCTCATTTTTCTTTTCGACTCCCCAAAGAGCCGTCAAATCGCGAGCAGAGGGGTCATAACGATGTCTAGATTTTTCACGTTTTGTCTTTGCTCCAGATAATAAAAATAAATCTGTGCTTTGTGGTTTTAATTGCAATAACAATACACATGCGCTTTAATGGAAGCCCGCAGATTAACGACATTTACTTTTATTCTAATCCCGGTAAGAAAGGTTTCTTAAGTTTGTACGACTTCTGCCGTATTTCATTACAATAATACAATCAAATTTCGCCCAAATTATTTCTCTGGCTTTATCCGGCACAAATCGGAATCCCGGAAAAGGCATAATTACATGCATTTTAGGGTGTAAAATGGACGTTTCGCTTCACCGTGAATTTATCGAGGGCTAGGACCAGGTGCTCTCCCTTTTTTACGTTTCTCATAATTTACACGTGACGGCGGTCAGACTCGCTCGATCGAATATTGCCAATTACAATAATAATACTAATAATAAAACACACCTCTAGACTTGGAACTTTCACGATGTAGATGTATCGTGTTTTTCTTGTTTTAACTTCATTACAAATTTTTCTATATATCATTCCTATTACTATTTAACTACGTCACTGTTGACTGAGTTAGATAACCTAGCAATTATGGAAGCCATCAACATTCTTTATACTCTTATTTCGAAATTTACTACTTGTGCAAGCACTGGAGATAAGATGAAACATTATAGACTGGGTGCGATATGCTATCAGTGGCGATTTTAAACGTGCTCTAAAGTTACACTATTGTCTCTCACTTTAAAATATAAACAAAATATCCAGCGATACGCGTAATAGTACCAAATTAATATATTTATCCCCACTGAAATTTCGATGACGTCATGCTAGCATTCTGTGGTTACTCTAACTAACACACTTCTTTTTGTTGTGTAGCTACTCCGACAATGCGGAAAAATCCTCACGGAAGACACACCTTTCGGCCATATTGTGATTAACATTATTATTATTATAGGGCAAGTATTGAGTGTGGTGCCTATTGATCGTAATAACAGTCCGCGTACTAAAAATGGCTACGGAGGGCCGCCGTGTCTAAGTGAATGAACTGACAGAGTTGTAATTACTTTAATTACTATTATAATTGATGCTGATACTATCTTATGTATACTCAAGCAAGCCGTTTCGAGTCAGGGAACGTTAAGCATAACACTCACAACGACCCATCGATAATCACGAGATTTACACTTCTCAATTTTTTTTTTGCACGTTTTTGTTTTTCATAGCTTTTTGTGTTATTTTCTTCTTCAAGGAACGAGATTACTATTTTGTAACGAAAGTTAATGACTACAATTAATTCTAATCCCAGGCCTCGTATAAACGGTCTCAATCATTAAATGCTGTAATAGTATAATTAAAAAATGTCCAATTGTTGAGTGCTGCTGATTATACGAAATTAAAAAGCTCGGAGGAAGTTAATGGGGTTTTTAATTTTCAGGTGTACACAAATAGGTAATTAAGGTACACGAGATGCCGGAGGTAGATAAGCAATTTCTCAAGTTTTTAAACCAAAAATCAAAACTATGTAAAAATGAGCTCGGTGGTGGCTGTGAAAAACAAACTCGTTAATTTTTTGACGTCTTGGCTGAAAACGTTGCATACTTTATTTGTGGTTTTAAATAACATTTATGTTGCGTTGCAAAATATCGCATAAAATTAAAATTAAATCATTTGCATGTCAGAGACAGACATCATAACCGTTTATCATTTTAATTTCTTTAGATAAATTTTAGCGAACATAAATAGTATTTTATCAATTGACGTCTTTTAATTAACTTGTGGATGTTATGAGTGCAGTCCTAAATTTTAGTCGCTACCCATACACCACACGTAGTCCGTTGGATTCAACTACGGTGCGTATGCTGGCCACCTGATGTTCTAACTGTAATAATAATTGTACTATCTGTTAGAGTATAGTAATTTAGGCCGTTTTGTACGTTTACACGTTGCTAAAACTATTATAGCCGTCATAATACAGGTACTGGGTTTCCACGATATCACATAATGTGTTTACCTACTTCCATACGCTAATACTCTTTGAATTCATTAGCATAAATAATACATCTTACATGTTGATGACAATTTAAGTAACTTTCCACAAATATATCTGCAGCCTTACGCTGCCTGTATGTAGAATTAATTTTTTAATTAATTTTTGAATCAAATTATAATAAAAATTAAATTTATCTATTTTTTCGTCATCAATTCACGATTTTTACTTTTTTGTATCTAAGTAGAGAACTTTAATTGACAATATCGTGCGTATGACAACTCGTTGTGGTTTATGTCTCTGCCTTATTTCATTGTTAAAGTTAAGCAAAAATTAAGACGTAATTCAAAAAACGCAAATATATTAGCGCGTTATGTTAATTTTAATAAACAGATTGTTCTTTGGAATAAATTAAAAATTCCATTGTTGTTTACTGTGTACACTGGTGGAACTGTGGACACATTCAGGAAATAGCCAATCGTTGAACAAATTCCAGTTTGTTGTTGGTTAGATTTACTGATTTTGTTATCTTACTTTCTCCTGTCTTCTTTCCGAGAAAAAGAAAGCGACTAGATTAAAAATTGTTTTTCCGAATAGTTCTGATTTTTGGTCTTGGAATAATTATATATAAATTCCTGGTACTGTGAGGATAAATTTTGGTGCTATTTTCGTACACAGATTTCATTTGTAACACTTTTTATAGAAAAGATAGAGACAAAACATTTTTTGAAGCTATTTTTGTTGGAATAGAATTAGCATACGTTTGAATATTTAAATCTAATGAACAAAATTCTTTATCTTCTATTTTTATAGTTTGTGACAAATTTGGTTTTTGTGTTTTTATTATTATGTTGTCACTAAGAAAAAATTCAAATCGAGATAAGAGTTACCTTGTCAAAATAAGTATAGTTATGGCATGGTAATATGACATAAGCGGCTTATAATAATATATTCAATCAGCCGACGCCATTTGGTGTTCTAAAGTAATAATATAGCACGTATATGTGCATTATATCGGTACTATAAACTATGCAAAAATATTAAACAGTGAAAGTTAGATGTAACTCCAATTCATTTTAACACGTCAGTTTTATTACGCAAGAATACCGACAGATCTTGTCATTCCAGCCGAAGCCTCCACTTCCATTAATACCAGAATTTATACCCACAATGGTATTTTCACGATGATATCAAACATCAAATTTTAAATATGTATAAGTTGTAGGATACCTACAGTTATTCTGTTTTTACCGGAATGCTAATTTCGGAACGCCACTATCTCATCATCATCGCTGCTAGAAAAGTCGAGAGAGAAAAAGGGAACAGTTTTCTCTTCGCGTTACATAATTAGAAGATGCATAATTGTATAAATTATCGAATAATGGAATGAGTGATGAACGTGTCAAATTTGGTTTTGTGATAGTTTGAATCGCCGATTAGTTGGGATTTTTTGTCAGATTGGTATGCGGGATGTGGGTCAGGTCGGGTCAGATATGTGGCGAATGTTGTAAAGAATGGTTTTTCGATTTCAAGCGTGAAAGTTGGTACTAGAAGAAACCAAACTAACCATCAAAAACACGCTTTTGTCAGGGTAGTAACATTTTCTGCGAAAGTGTTGGTACTTTTCGTGATTATGGTATTTTCGAGAAGTGCGTGATTGATGACAGTACCGCGAACAGTGAGCTAAATTTGGTGGTGCTTTTGCAAGATAGTACCGCGGGGAATATGGTGTTTTCGAGGTTTGGAATTTTGAAGTGCGGCAGTACCGCGAAAGGGTTTTGGTACCAAAGTTGCGCCGGTACTCATCGGCGTTCGCGGTGAATTGTGGTCCGTCTAATCCGCGTTTTTCGCAAGGCTCATTAAGGTCGAGTCGCATTGTCGCAGGTAGTACCTCGTCGAGTGCAGCGGCGGTTCGTCGGTAAGCTTATCGTCGCGTTATCGGGTAGAGGAAGAATGCGTTCGGCGCGTGTTGGGCACTCACCTTCGCACGTGAACTGTCCGTAGTGCTTCCCCGAGCTTTTGTCGCCGCAGACGACGCACTCGATGTTCTGGTTCTTGTCGGCGCTCGTGGCGCTGTTCTGCGAGTTCTGCGAGGGCGTTTGTCTGTTGATGAGCGCCAGGTCGGGGTTCTCCAGCGCGATGGGGTTGATGTTGGTGGGCAGCGCGGTCAGGTTGGCGGTCGGCGGCAGCGGGTTGAGCCCGTTCGGCAGCGAGTTCAGGCTGGTGGGAATGGGGTTGACGAGCGGGGACTCGCGCCAGGAGCTGGCCACCAGAGCCATGGCGACGTCCGGAGGCTCCACGTCACTCACGCACTGTCGCGCGCCCTCATGACCGTCGACACCGAGTTCACAGTTCACCAGTTCACCAGATCGACTCCTGGGTGAGCCGCTCGCGGACTTGCACTTGACGTTCGCTGAGCACGTATCTCGCGTCGGAGGTGATAGGTCAACCCCACGGCACACTCTAGCCTCTACTAGTGACCTTTCGGTCTCGGGCCCGACACCGACTTGGCCTGGGCGGTCCGGGGAGGTCCTTGGTTCACAGCCGGGTCACGATAGGCCAAGGGGCGTTCCGAGCCCGTGGTGGGGGCGCCGCGCGCGGGGGGGACGTGCCGTCGCTTCTACACCGCGGCATCGACGCACCGCCGAATACTCGCAGCACGGCTGCTTCTGGGCCTTTAACATCCTCGTCCACGCGAACCCGACTCGCAGTAGTGCCATGGTCCGGCTCGACTCGACCTCTTGTGCTTGGCTATTTTATTTGCGATTATACGGAGGCAGCCAGTCCAGTGCCTGCAGTGATCCCATTTCTCGACGACAGTGGATGTGGTGCTTTAGCCAGCATACGTCGCATTGTGATCAAAAATCGCAGTTGACACGAGTGCACACAAATCTATAAGAGTGATTCTTGCATCAGTAACTAAGACAATAAAATTAAACACCGCAACAATTGTATAGAAAGAAAGAGCACAATTGTTTGTTATTACTTTTATTGCCTTTGCAATCTTGCGCTCGAGTATACGCTTAAACTCGAAGAAACAAAACTAGCAAAAAACAAAAAACTTTAATTGGCTTTGATGCTCATTAGACGTACGTGCTTTTAAAATAATTTCGTTCACATTAAAGCTGTTCAAGGTTAATTACAGGTTTATACAGGCTGTCTATTTAATCATGGTGTTGAACATTACGCTCATATGTTACACTACATTATCCACAACCGTACTAAATTTACTTCACATTTTTAAATTATTAAAAGCGAATGCAACGCATATTTCAAAAAGCACGATCGCGGAAGTTCAGTTTCGCTTTCGATTAACGCACACACGACGAGTTTTATATCCTTAAAATTATTTCGAAATAAATCAAACTTTGGATCCTACGTCAACTAACATTTTAACACGACAGTTTGTAACAACAACTATCTGCTATTTAATTATCATTAATTTTTGAAAAAAAAAATATAGTGCGATTATTCACAACGCAAGTGACCAACATCCCTCCACATCATAACATTTTTGCAGCTTTTGAACAACTACAAACGAACAATAATTTTATTCAATTTTTGAAAGAACTGAGTGAGTCACTCTGTATAATATTGGTAGGTACAGAAATCTTACTTTATATACACAATATTTTTTTGTGTTTAACCTTAAGAGATAAAATTAAAAATTTTGATAAATAAGTCAGTAAAATGTAAATATAAGCAATTTAATTAAGAATCAAATGAAAACAATAAAGTACGTTAGTAACAACTTAAGTTGACACCTGATCAAGTCGTCAGGCGATACCAGGACCGGACTTAACTCGCCCCAAAACATGCAGCTGAACGGAAACTGTACTTGTGGGAAACCTGCACAACACCTCTCAATATATCAACTGTCAATTTTTTCCTGTATTGACGAAAACTTTTTATACGTTCTTGATATCACAGTTTTGAACCGTCCATTCGTGTCAAAAGAATCCGAGACTCGAAATCCACGAAAAAAACTTTCCATTTGAAAATTTTCATTTTTAAATTAGCAGCAATTGTAGTGACTGCAGGGAAAAGTTCATGACGTTTTTTTTATCTCACTGACTGATTAAAAAAAATGGAAAAAGTAAAAAAAAAGAAAGTTTTTAAATCATAAATAGTTTCACATAAAAAATTATAAGTATTATTCCATAAAACTTTTTTCAGCCTATTTATTTAAAATGTAATTAGACGGTGCGTAGTTGGGCAGTGAACAGTGTATTAAGTTACCGTCAATGAGGATGCTGGTTCGAGTCTCATCGGCGACATCTTTTTTTAAGTAGTCAAAACTCGTTAGTCCGGCCCTGACCGTCCATCTTCGAAATGAACAAACACCCAAACTTCACATTTACACCACTTGTACAACGTCCGTTCCAGATGTACACCGCCTAAAGTGCAAACAGTCACAAACGGAAAACCGAATTAATTCGAATAGAATTTTTCCGATGTTTGGGAAATCACAAATGCAACACATTTCAATAATTCGCAAGCAAAGCGCGGAATGTGATGAAAGCATTGCTTTAGCGTATTCAATTTGAAGCTCCACAATAGACAATTTCTAAAGCGGTCGATTCGGTGGATGATGATGGGATGATACCACTTGAAGAGGCATTATCGCTGAGAAGATCCTGCTGTCGTACTTTAAACACTTCACTTACAATTCTATGTCATAGGAGTAGTAAGACATTATTTCCATCCAGCCATATCGGCAAATCGACTCTTTTGCCACCGGATTTTGTTGATTTTGTCGAAAACGCCTTGATTCCGGATCGGTTAATAGGCAAAAGGAAAATTGGAAATGGTGATGGCGCAGGGGCGTAGGGAGAAAATTAGCATGAAGATACTTTTAGTATTAGGTTTTGTTAAAGTGGACGCAGCTTACGAATATGCATGTTAACTGAGTAAAAGGCCCAGAAAATTAATATTAAGCATTATTAAGTACAAATTAAAAATCAGGTTAGATGTGTGTAAGTTACTAGTCCACCGAAAACTGGTCGCAGTTGCGTTTCCATAAAACGCTAATTCTTGATTAAAATAAGTGTACATTCATCATGCTGTCGTTTGTTGGTAGTTCCGCCACTGGCGATGTTGAGGTGGTGGCGAATTGGAGTGCACATTTCCCATCTATATCAGTGTCCGTGCTGGCCACTAGAGGTCCCTAGAGGAAACTACTCCACTTTATCTCCCAATGTTTTATGTTTCGGTTGACAGCAGATAAAAATATTCCGGTGACGGATAGCCCTGAATTGCCGGGGAAAGCGGTTTTTTATTCTACTACTATCTTTTTAATAAACAACTATTAGTTATGTTTTTTTTAGATTTTCGGACGATAAGTCTCGAGGGTCTTGAAATATGGCCTTGTTTCTGCAAAACGACGCAAAAATGCGGTTTAGTCAACCGTTTTAGTGGCCTCTATTTAACAGTAAAAATTCGTATTTTGGAGCAGGTAAGAGGGAATTTCATGTTTCACGTGAATTCGGTTATCAGTCTCATTATCTGTCTTTTGTCTTTTACGTCTGAATCGTGAAAAGTTGTAGTTTCGTGGGTTTGTGTTGTCACGTAGGGGTAGATTACCATCAATGTTAATCGTCATAGATTTTTTCATATTTGAGCGAAGTGAGCTTGCAGTTAAACTTGGCTTTTACCGTGTGTTAATACCTCTTATAATAAGCGCCATACTGCATGCTAAATATCAGCTGCAGCTACTAGAATATTTTTCACTGTTATATGGTTACATGTTCAGGTGATGTTGCAGTGACGATAAAGACATTAAAACAAACCTGAAAAGCTTGAGGAATGAATATAACAAGCATCTGAAAGCTCACGATCGTTCGTAATTTCAAAATGATGACGCTTTAAAACCAACTGTTACATAATTAATCGCCATTACGACAAAACCATCTTGTATATCTCAAACCCGCTTCTCTTGCCAAAAACGGACTTAATACGAATCCTGGCCTCTGCGGCCATTTGGCCATTTCGCCGAAAGAATTAAACCCGAACCGAACTTTTTAATATCTGAAGTTTTGTCGAGATAAAATTACCTGTCAAGAGAAATGGCGCAAAGCACGAAGTATGAGATCAAAAGTAGTGGTTCGCAGTGATTGAGAGTCGCTCCATTAGGTGGTAAATCAGTATGGTGAACAGCTTTTATCTGAGCGACTGCTTCATATATTAAGATCAAACGAGCTTTGGCATTGAAAGCGTGCTTTTGAAATGGAGTCCATTGAAGCTTCAGTGCATTGAAAAACATGTTTAACCATCGGTCTCATTAACCGCAGTCTAGAGTTTCCGCAAACAGGATACTCTTGCAGGCCGCCGGGTTTGTAATCGAATCCACGACGGTCGATGCTAAAACCAGAGACGATACACTAAACTACTCCTAAACACTAATAAGCAAAAGGAGGGATAATAACACCCTGCACCTAATTAAACTCGCTCTCGCTCATAACGCGCGTAAACACCTGCTTGGGCGAAACTAAATTCGGTGTAAATTAAATGGAGGCGGTTGTGTTAGATACAGTTTCAAAAAAATCTCGCTCGTTACGAGAACAACTAGCTCGCTTGGGTATTAACACGTTTTCGTGGCAAAAGCTTCCGTTGCCCTTGATATATACACAATTTTAAAAAATATGTCGTCAAGTAACGTGTTTTTTACGTTCGGTTTAATTTGGTTTGAAAACCACGTAAAAACGACGTTTCAGCGAAACAGACGCGGACGACTATTCAGCACATAAATGATAGTTCGCTGCGTGATTTGAATCTCGGATTTCGTTGGGCGGCGACGTTAAAAAGTAGTTGTACCCATCTCTGTTTGAATCTCGAGAGCGGTCAGCTGTGGAGGCTCGGGGTCCGAACGAAGGCAATAATTGCTAATGTTTGGGTTGTTCGTGGTATGAGGTGCGAGATGAATGGATCCTAAACAGCATAACCCCAGTTATGACGTAATCGTTTGGGTTGTAAGCAAGAGAGTAGCTGCCCTGAAGTGAGTTGTAAACTCTCATAACACGCACATGTTGCCGCTATTAGTGGTAATTAGTAATCAGTGACAACTTCAGCGCGTGCCTAAGACTAACCTCCGTGGGTCACGACACTCGCCCACTTCCCTCTGTACCTTGAGAATGCCAAAGAGAGGAGCTTTCATCGAACAGAAGCTCCTAATTGTGCATGAAATCGGCGGAAAGATGAAAGCTCGAAATTTTCAAGTCGGTGAGTGATTGAAGAGACCAAGTGGCTGCGATGATGCAAAGTGAACTAAATAAATATGACGGTGTTTCGATAACGATGCCATTGGATCCCTGGGGATCTATCCATCCTGGGACGTCTCCTGGGAGGAGATACCCAAATCAATTACACAACCAAGTAATTAGAATATGCATCCCATACCGTTGTAAAAGAGATGGATCTATACATCATCCTACGTCGCATTTTCATTAAACTTTTGACGAAAGGAATTTTTGAGCCGGGTTTTCGGATTACTGCGAACCACTGACCGCGCTAAATGATATTTATTTTTTCGGGGTTTACTCGAAATTAAGCTATTTATAATTTCCGCGCCATTACACTTTACGATTTACTTCACATTCGGTTATACAGCTAAAAATTGATTTTCGCGTATATCATCCTCCACGAA